ATGTCAGGACCAACCTGCTTAGACAAGATGAGCGATGCTGCCTCGCCATCTGCCTGGCAGTCAATTGCCCTCACAGCGGGCTGACCGACGACACGTGGTACCCGCCGCTGAACAGAGTCAAAGAAGATATGAACAGCACCGCGGGAGATCGGTTTATCGCCTACATCATAAGCTGCCTGTGTGGGCCACTACAAGGCAAAGAGTTCGTCGTCAAGGTCGCCGCGCTCCTGGCGTGCCTGAAAGTCCGCGAAGCGCCCGAGGAATGTGACGACGGCCTGCCGGGCAACAGGACCAACTTGTTGTTCGAGCTTGACAAGGCACTGAACTTTGACTTTGGAAACATGCTTATCACCATCAAAGTGCTCGAACAGGTTTTGATGTTCTCCGCGCGGATTTGGGAAATCCATGCGCCGGAAGACGCCGTTCACCCCGGGACATTGCCAGCGACTTTCGACCTCTGCGACGACTCGGTGTCGAGAAAGATGCTGTACATGTACTGCTGCGTACGAATCTTGTTTCCCGACACTCATGAGGCGACCATGCACCGGACACGGGCCGTCTTCCAGATGAGCTCTGCAGATGCGGCCGAGCTACTTCTCGACACGCTCAGCGACGACGAGCTGGAGGCAGGAGGGCACTCAATGTGTGACGTGGACGAGGACCTGTTTGACGGCGAGGGCGACGAGTCTTACCGTTCTGACATGTCTGACGTTGAATCTGGCGAAGACTCAGACCTGTCGGAAGGAGGGCGGTTAGACGACGATCATGGTGATTCAGACGTCTCAGACGAAAGTTACGGGCCTGGTGCAGAAGAAGACGAGAGCGATATAGAGTAGATATAGAGTAGTTGCCGAGTTCATTACGCATGGAGGTGTGTTGTTCAATAATTCTCTCATAACTATCCTTGGAAATTTTCATATTCCTTCATATTCCTTCCATGTCGTTTACCTGTGAGGAGATGACCTGCCCCGGTATCTTCCAAACGTCCAGAGAGTGTTCTACATGCCATGCTATGTATTCTGTACTGCGCAACGAAAATCCCACCCTTGGGGCCGTGACATGTGCGATGCATTGGTGTTGCTGGTGATGGCTGGCATGGAGTCCTGAATCACCCAGTCATCTTTAAGCCAGGTTGCAAAGCATGAAACATCGAGAGACGAAGCCTGACAGTACTGCGAAACTCGCAGCGAAAGACCGGAGGCATAAGACGAGAGATTCGTCCACAAACTGCCCACCAGCGGCGTAACCGGCTTCTTGCCGTTGGCGCCTCAGCGCAGGAAGCAAGTTTCGTCGACTGTACTACGATCAGAACCAGAAGTGTCTTTTCGTGCCGTACACGTTCTCTCTATTTCATTGAATCTCTCCCGCAGCGGAGCGACCTCTAGTTGCAGGATGCTACCTCGGCCAGCGTCGAAACACCGGTGACACCGTCGCCAACGTCTGCGTAAGCATCTCCGAGCTTCTCGTCGACGTCTCATGTGCAATGTCTCATCGATCTTGGACTCTCGGAGTGCTGGTCCTCCAGCTTGCTGTCGCCGCCGTGAATGCAGCGTCGGCCGTCGAGATCCTCTCGCAGGTCCCGTCGTGTGCTGTGAGTGATTGTGACATCAGCCAGGCTTTCGTCGCGCTAAAGCATCTACCATCTAGTCCGAGTGCATCAGCAGCACATTCATCACGTCCGCCTGCGATCCAGAAGACGTGACCGCGTGCATCTGTCTCGACATTGCTGTCCAATCGGAGCTTTCGACATGTGTGCAGACGAACTGCCCGTTTGACGATCAACTGAGTTGGCCCCGCCGTTTCCTCTCTGGAAGCCCATCTGACATTCTGAAGCTGCAGCGACGGTAGAGGGGGCCCTGTGCGAAGGGTACCCCAAAGCATCGCGAAGGACGGAAGTCCGACGGACGCTCATCATCAGCTGCAGT